GACTCCTAATCATGGTTTAGGGGAAAAGGGATAGTGAGATTTTTTTTTTTTTTCTGTCTACTATCCACTGGTGGATATGAGGAATTGAACAGAAACTATCTGACCTATTCCTTAAAGGGATATCAAACTTAATGTACATTACTGGATTGCCTGTTATTTAACTGTGGATTTTCTATTCCATTGGAGTTCAGAGATCAGGAACCACACCATGGTTCAGTAATATTTCCCCTCTCTCTGGAGTTGGATATACCTAAGTACATATTCCTTAACACAAAATGTTAGTACACAATCCCCACCTCCCAGGGCTTGCTTAAAGGACAAGTGGGAAAGACAGTTAAAATTCTACAGTGTAAGTGTTACGGTTAAGGTATAAAGGCATTTCCAGAAGACAGAGAAGGCTTATCAGATAAGACTTCTTAGATAAGGTAACTTCGGAGCTGAGAGTTCCTGTAAAAGATAAGGAGCAGAGAGGCCAAGGGAGGGAAGAGCTCCAGGCAGAGAAGTTAGAATGAACACAGTTAAAACATTGGGGAGAGTCTTCTCGACAAATGGTGCCAGAAAAACATCATAACTACATTCAAAAGAAAAAGGCTGGACCCCAACCTCACACCATATACAAACTCGGAATAAATTAAAGACCTACATTTAAGAGCTAAAACTTCATTATAAAACTTGCAGAAGAAAACACAGGCTTAGGAAATGGATTTCTTCGATATGACATCAATAGCACAAGGAACAAAAGGAAAAATAAACTGGACCTCATCAAAATTAGAAACTTTTGTGCTTAAAAAAGAAAGAAAGAGGGTGCCTGGGTGGCTCAGTGGGTTATGCCTCTGCCTTCGGCTCAGGTCATGATCTCAGGGTCCTGGGATCGAGTCCCGCATCGGGCACTCTGCTCAGCGGGGAGCCTGCTTCCCTTCCTCTCTCTCTGCCTGCCTCTCTGCCTACTTGTGATCTCTCTCTCTGTCAAATAAATAAATAAATAAAATCTTAAAAAAGAAAGAAAGAAAGAAAGAAAACTTTTGTGCTGAAAATGACACCAGCAAGAAAATGAAAAGACAATTCACAAAATGGGAGAAAATACTCACAAGCCATATTATCTGATTAAGGGACTAGTAGGCAGAATTTTTAGACAACTCTTACAACTTAGTAATATAAAGACAAATAACCCAATGAAGGACTGGCCAAAGAACTTGAATGGACATTTCTCCTTAGAAGACATACAAATGGCCAATGAGCAAACACAAAAAAGAGGCTCGTCATTAGTTACCAGGGAAATACAAATCAAAACCAAAAAGAGGAAGAACCAAGGGACTGTGAGGGGATTTAGTGCCTGGAACAGGCAGGGCTGGGACATGGGGCAGCAAAAGGAGGCTGAAGAGACTGGCAGGAACCAAGGCACAAAGAGCCCTAAGACCAGACTCGGGAGTTGATATTAAAGGTAATGGGAACAAGTCAGAGTTTGAAACTGGGAAGCACTATATCAAATTCAATTTTTGGAAATACTACTACCACCATAGTAGGGCATGCCTGGATGCAGAAAGGCAGGTAAGGAGACATGAACCTGGGGCGACAGGTGACAGCAGAGGATGTCAAAGGGCACCTGGAGCATTATTCCTATTCCCGGCATCCCAGAAACTGTCTGCTTTTATAAACAGCATCCACGTTTGCGAATCATTTCTACTTTAGATGAGACAACAAAATGCTTACGAAAACTACTATGTCAAATGGAGTCTGGGAAGTTTCAGAGGAGTCTCAGTGTACAGTTGAGGTTCTGTGTCAAAGGCACTGAGTCGGGGACCAGCACTGAGAGCAGGGAAGAGACCTGCTGATTCTTGCCAGCCTGGTACTGATAAAATTACAGAGAACCACAGACGCTCGGGGTTGCAAGGGATCAGAAAAGCCCATGAACCACGAATTGTCTGATGCCTGAATTCTATCTACAGGACCAAACTGTTACTCAGCTTTGCTTCAAGAGCTCCAGAGATGTGCCACAATGGCGGCCCATTAATCCCATCTTCGGACGCCTCGGGCCATCACATCCTTGTCCTTTCCCCTTGACTGCCATCTCTGGATCCGCACGGCTGCCATTAAGGCCACCTGAGCAGAGCTGCCTGTCCCGGAGGCCCGCAGCTGCCATGTGCAGGCCTTCTGTCCTTCTGGCTATGCGAACATTCCCATCCCTTCAGAGGTTCCTCGGGGACTTGGTCTCGAGTCTCTTCTCTGGTCATCCTCAGAAGTCATTAGGACTCCTTGGGGAAACTTACAGAGTAATAGGCATAATGATCAGAGCACTTGTCGGAGCTCTGCAGGGACGACGATGGGCAGACCAACCCTGGTCTATTAAAGCAGTGTGCAGGGAGCAGCTGTGGGCAGCCACGGAACAGGCCCTAAAGCTGCAAAGTAGATTTCACTGCAGCTGCTGCTACAGCACGTCTTCTCCATCTCGTACTTGTGAAATGGGGCGTCAGACCCCGGCATGCCAGCGCTCCCGTCTCTCCTCAATTAACCCAGTCTCGAGAGTGATTATCTTTGCAGTCAGTCAGATGGTCCACAGCGTAACTAATTAAACGGATGGGAGAAAGAGGCCACAAAGAGAACGTGGACAAGCACAGCGAGGAAGCAAAGAGAAGAGTTCATGGCTATCAGGATGTCTGCAAGGCCAGCCGGAGAGGGAGCCGGGAGGCCCAAGCTAAGGCAGAGGACACGTCCTGGCCCAGCAGCATGGACGAGCTAAGGCTGGTGGGATGGAGAGAGTCGGCCAGCCTCCGGGGACAGCCCAGCTCAGGACAGCAGGCTCTGGGACACACCACGGCTCCTCAGAGCCACACCACGCATTTATTAGTCACGCTCTTCTTGTTTTCTTGTTTCTCCATGCCTGTCTCACGGAACAGGACAGGCACTTTGCAGGACATAAAGATGGAAGTAAAAAATGCATGACTAAAAACCCAGACTAGAAGAAGAGCTCCATGCACATCATCTTATTCAACTTTGGGGACTGTCCTGTCCCACACATGTTGTTGTCCACATTTCAGCGCTGAGAAAACTGGGACTCAAAACAATTAAGTAACTTTGCCCAAGGTCTTGTCTTTGACTAAGTGGCATTCAGACTCGAAACTAGGTCAGAAATTCAAGGTCCCACATCTCTGCATCAGCCTACCTGTAACTTCTGGCTCCTTTCTGTGGACCTCCCCTACCGGGGCAGAGAGCAGCCAGCAGGAGCTCGGACTCTGAGGGGCACTGCTGAGTCCAAGGCCCGACTCCACCGCTGGCCGGTGAACGTAACTTTTTTTCTTTTAGTCTTTTTATTTTTTTTTAATTTTTTTTTTAAATTTCTTTTCAGTGTAACAGTATTCATTGTTTTTTGCACCACACCCAGTGCTCCATGCAATACGTGCCCTCCCCAATACCCACCACCTGGTTCCCCCAACCTCCCACCCCCACCCCTTCAAAACCCTCAGGTTGTTTTTCAGAGTCCATAGTCTCTCATGGTTCACCTCCCCTTCCAATTTCCCTCAGCTCCCTTCTCCTTTCCATCTCCCCATGTCCTCCATGTTATTTGTTATGCTCCACAAATAAGTGAAACCATATGATAATTGACTCTTTCTGCTTGACTTATTTCACTCAGCATAATCTCTTCCAGTCCCGTCCATGTTGCTACAAAAGTTGGGTATTCATCCTTTCTGATGGAGGCATCATACTCCATAGTGTATATGGACCACATCTTCCTTATCCATTCGTCCGTTGAAGGGCATCTTGGTTCTTTCCACAGTTTGGTGACCGTGGCCATTGCTGCTATAAACATTGGGGTACAGATGGCCCTTCTTTTCACTACATCTGTATCTTTGGGGTAAATACCCAGTAGTGCAATTGCAGGGTCATAGGGAAGCTCTATTTTTAATTTCTTAAGGAATCTCCACACTGTTTTTCCAAAGTGGCTGCACCAACTTGCATTCCCACCAACAGTGTAAGAGGGTTCCCCTTTCTCCACATCCTCTCCAACACATGTTGTTTCCTATCTTGCTAATTTTGGCCATTCTAACTGGTATAAGGTAGTATCTCAATGTGGTTTTGATCTGAATCTCCCTGATGGCTAATGATGATGAACATTTTTTCATGTGTCTGGTGAAGGTAACCTTAAACAGGCCGCTTACTCTCCCTGCCCTTCCATCGCCTCAGCTGGGAGGTCAGGACAGTTCCCATTATGAGGGTTAAATGCAGTTATATCACTGAAGCACTTTTAGAACAGTTAGTGCACACTAAACTATGATGATGAACTGAACTGGTTAACTAAACTGGTTAACTGAACTGCTTTACTAAACTTTAATAAACTAAAGTTCACTAGATGTGAACTTGGGCAAGCATCTTAAGCTCCCAGCCTTCATCTGTCAGAGGATGAGAATACAGGGACATGTCTTCATCGTGATGACAGTAAAGTGCCCACACACGTTGGTCTCCTTATTGCCTTCCTACCTGACTTCAGAGCATCTCTTCTTTCATCCAGGATGGAATGTTATTGCATCATCTAACCACTCGGATAATCCGTGAAGTTAGCATTTACTAGGTCAACTGATTTAGAAAAATAAATATAAATTGAAATGAAAAAGCTTGAAACACAGTGTGAAATCATTAAAATGAAAATAAAACCCAGGAATGACGTGATTCTGAGAGAACTTGCCCCCGGTTCTAAGGACGTGTGTGCTGGCAACGTCACAGCAACTAGCCCCACGGCGGGTGCCTTAGAGGGGGTCAAAGGCAACTCACCACCCCCCCAATGACTTCAGTGCATGGGGGAAGAATACTGGGGGATGGGTGGGTAGGTTATTTGTTTTGCTGGGGTGAGAGGGGTTGTTTCTGATTTTGGAGTGCTAAGATGAAGTGTTTCCCTTCTGTTTATAACTTTCCTGAGGACTTATTTATAACCCTTTAGAGATGATGTTTCTGGTTAAGTATAAGCTTGGAAATATTTTAATTCAAACCACACCAATGGTATATCTAACCTTTACACGGTCCGGGTCCACGTAATGCATTTTTTTCATGTCACATTCTTCAGTAGTATAATTTAACTTGAGAATATAAAGGATCCACACTCCAAACACAAGCAATGTACACCTGGAAAAAAAATCAATTAGGTATAATGATGCAGTTATGGGCTAATCAAGAGAAATCATGTGAAATAAGGGAAAACCTACCCCAGACTGAGCTTGCCTGCTAGGTAACATAGAAAGACAGCTTTTAAGGTGACCTTTGTGGTCAACTTAAGGCACCACTTCTTACTTTCCTGACAAGAAAAATCAGTCATTTATGACTGTTTTTGTTGTAATACAGAGAAAACATTTTTATGCAAAAATATGAATCACACTGTAGACCACTGGACTTTATAAAACCAGGTAATAGCTTTTGAGCTACAGAAACTCAGCTTCGATTTTTCGCCACTTTAAAATACTGTCAGTCTTTCCAATACTGTATGATTCCACTTACATGAAGCACAGACTCAAAAACCACAGAGACAAAAAGTAGAATGGGGGCTGCCAGAGGGCCAGGGAGAGGGGAAGCAAGGGAGTCAGTGCTTAACGGGTAGAGAGTGTTGGTTTTACAAGATGCAAAGAGTTCTGCAGGTGGATGGGTGAGGGCTGCATACCTTGTGAATGTATTTACTATCACTGAACTGTATAGAAATGGTTCAGATGGTAAATACTATGTTATGGCTACTTTACCATAATTTTTAAAAATGGGGGGAAATACTGGGAGCCTTAAAAAAAATAAGAAAACAAAATAAATAATCTACTCAATTATTGCTCTAAAGATTCTACCCAGAAATGAGGCTAACTGAGGTGAAAAAGTACCACCAGTCACCCTTAAGACCATCTACAAAAATGGCTTTTAAAGATCCAACAAACTCATATTATTATATAGTTTAAAATATACACATGCACACACATAGACACACAGGATTAGGAGAAAAGAATTGAGTTGAATCCTGGTTCTAGAAATCTTTTTTTAAAAAAGATTATGTATTTATTTATTAATCTGGAGAGTGGCAGTGCAAGTGGAGGGCAGAGGAGGGAGAGAGAAAGCATCTCAAGTAGACTCCCCACAGGCTGTGGAGCCCGATATGTGGCTCAATCCCATCGCCCATGCGATCACAACCTGAGACAAAACCAAGAGTCAGACACCCAACTGACTGAGCCAACCATATACCCCTAGAAACCTCATTTTTAATAAGCTCCCTAAGTGACACTGATAAACTAAAAGTAAAAAAAAAAAAGTTTAAACCTAAGTTTAGGAGCCATTGTTTTAAATAATTTGTGTTACTGAGAAAGTAACACAAATGAGGAATAACCTTAATGTGGAAATGATCTCTTTTCTAAAGAAGGGGCAATTTAAAAATACAGCATCTAGCACAATATACTATACCCAATAGATGCTAAATATTTCTTAATATGTAAGGAGGATGATGAAGGAAAGTATTTCTAGGAAGTGAAAACCTGGACAAGCACCCTATTTTTCCCCTGTGATGGAGTACCATGTTAAGTGAATAGGATGCTACCATCTGTGTAAAAGCAGGGGGAGAGTAACACACACACACACACACACACACACACACACAATTTCTTAAGTACACAAGACTGGTAATATTGGTTACCTTTAAGCGGGGGGCAGGAAAGATAGGATATCTTACTGAGTACTTTTAATATCTTTTGAATTTCAGATGTTGTGAATGTAGTATTACCTTTATTCTCCCCAGCTCCCCTCCCCCGAAAAGGTACTATCTTGATGCATATAATAATTCCCTTATCTTGATTACGAACATACAAATGAGGAAGGAAGGAACAACAGTGTGTTAAAAGTAGGCCCTGTACCTACACCACTGAGGACACTGCACTGGAATGCCTGGTCATGAGTCTGTCATGCCCACACTGTGTGCAGCGTGGGCCCAGGAGGACCTCGTTCACTGCCAAGGGCTGGTGTCCCACACAGTGCCGGGCATGTTAGGCCTCAGTAAATATGGGATGATGAACAAGAGGAAATTTGGAAAGAACCCAAATACATGGAGACTAAACAGCATCCTTCTAAAGAATGAATGGGTCAACCAGGAAATTAAAGAAGAATTGAAAAAATTCATGGAAACAAATGATAATGAAAACACAACAGTTCAAAATCTGTGGGACACAACAAAGGCAGTCCTGAGAGGAAAATATATAGCGGTACAAGCCTTTCTCAAGAAACAAGAAAGGTCTCAGGTACACAACCTAACCCTACACCTAAAGGAGCTGGAGAAAGAACAAGAAAGAAACCCTAAACCCAGCAGGAGAAGAGAAATCATAAAGATCAGAGCAGAAATCAATGAAATAGAAACCAAAAAAAACAATAGAACAAATCAATGAAATTAGGAGCTGGTTCTTTGAAAGAATTAATAAGATTGATAAACCCCTGGCCAGACTTATCAAAAAGAAAAGAGACCCAAATAAATAAAATCATGAATGAAAGAGGAGAGATCACAACTAACACCAAAGAAATACAGACAATTATAAGAACATACTATGAGCAACTCTACGCCAACAAATTTGACAATCTGGAAGAAATGGATGCATTCCTAGAGACATATAAACTACCACAACTGAACCAGGAAGAAATAGAAAGCCTGAACAGACCCATAACCAGTAAGGATATTGAAACAGTCATCAAAAATCTCCAAACAAACAAAAGCCCAGGGCCAGACGGCTTCCCGGGGGAATTCTACCAAACATTTAAAGAAGAACTAATTCCTATTCTCCTGAAACTGTTCCAAAAAATAGAAATGGAAGGAAAACTTCCAAACTCATTTTATGAGGCCAGCATCACCTTGATCCCAAAATCAGACAAGGATCCCATCAAAAAAGAGAACGACAGACCAATATCCTTGATGAACACAGATGCGAAAATTCTCACCAAAATACTAGCCAATAGGATTCAACAGTACATTAAAAGGATTATTCACCACGACCAAGTGGGATTTATTCCAGGGCTGCAAGGTTGGTTCAACATCCGCAAATCAACCAATGTGATACAACACATTAATAAAAGAAAGAACAAGAACCATATGATACTCTCAATAGATGCTGAAAAAGCATTTGACAAAGTACAGCATCCCTTCCTGATCAAAACTCTTCAAAGTGTAGGGATAGAGGGCACATACCTCAACATTATCAAAGCCATCTATGAAAAACCCACCGCAAATATCATTCTCAATGGAGAAAAACTGAAAGCTTTTCTGCTAAGGTCAGGAACACGGCAGGGATGTCCGTTATCACCACTGCTATTCAACATAGTACTAGAAGTCCTAGCCTCAGCAATCAGACAACAAAAGGGAATTAAAGGCATGCAAATCGGCAAAGAAGAAGTCAAACTATCACTCTTCGCAGATGATATGATACTATATGTGGAAAACCCAAAAGACTCCACTCCAAAACTGCTCGAACTTGTACAGGAATTCACTAAAGTGTCAGGATATAAAATCAATGCACAGAAATCAGTCGCATTTCTCTACACCAACAACAAGACAGAAGAAAGAGAAATTAAGGAGTCAATCCCATTTACAATGGCACCCAAAACTATAAGATACCTAGGAATAAACCTAACCAAAGAGACTAAGAATCTCTACACAGAAAACTATAAAGTACTCATGAAAGAAATTGAGGAAGACACAAAGAAATGGAAAAATGTTCCATGCTCCTGGATTGGAAGAATAAATATTGTGAAAATGTCTATGCTACCTAAAGCAATCTACACATTTAATGCAATTCCTATCAAAGTACCATCCATTTTTTTCAAAGAAATGGAACAAATAATCCTAAAATTTATATGGAACCAGAAAAGACCTCGAATAGCCAAAGGAATATTGAAGAAGAAAGCCAAAGTTGGTGGCATCACAATTCCGGACTTCAAGCTCTATTACAAAGCTGTCATCATCAAGACAGCATGGTACTGGCACAAAAACAGACACATAGATCAATGGAACAGAATAGAGAGCCCAGAAATAGACCCTCAACTCTATGGTCAACTAATCTTCGACAAAGCAGGAAAGAATGTCCAATGGAAAAAAGACAGCCTCTTCAATAAATGGTGTTGGGAAAATTGGACAGCCACATGCAAAAAAATGAAATTGGATCATTTCCTTACACCACACATGAAAATAGACTCAAAATGGATGAAGGACCTCAATGTGAGAAAGGAATCCATCAAAATCCTTGAGGAGAACACAGGCAGCAACCTCTTCGACCTCAGCCGCAGCAACATCTTCCTAGGAACATCGCCAAAGGCAAGGGAAGCAAGGGCAAAAATGAACTATTGGGATTTTATCAAGATCAAAAGCTTTTGCACAGCAAAGGAAACAGTTAACAAAACCAAAAGACAACTGACAGAATGGGAGAAGATATTTGCAAATGACATATCAGATAAAGGGCTAGTGTCCAAAATCTATAAAGAACTTAGCAAACTCAACACCCAAAGAACAAATAATCCAATCAAGAAAGGGGCAGAAGACATGAACAGACATTTCTGCAAAGAAGACATCCAGATGGCCAACAGAAAAAGTGCTCCATATCACTCAGCATCAGGGAAATACAAAGCAAAACCACAATGAGATATCACCTCACACCAGTCAGAATGGCTAAAATTAACAAGTCAGGAAATGACAGATGCTGGCGAGGATGTGGAGAAAGGGGAACCCTCCTACACTGTTGGTGGGAATGCAAGCTGGTGCAACCACTCTGGAAAACAGCATGGAGGTTCCTCAAAATGTTGAAAATAGAACTACCCTATAAGCCAGCAATTGCACTACTGGGTATTTACCCTAAAGATACAAACGTAGTGATCCGAAGGGGCACGTGCACCCGAATGTTTATAGCAGCAATGTCTACAATAGCCAAACTATGGAAAGAACCTAGATGTCCATCAACAGACGAATGGATAAAGAAGATGTGGTATATATACACAATGGAATACTATGCGGCCATCAAAAGAAATGAAATCTTGCCATTTGCGACGACGTGGATGGAACTAGAGGGTATCATGCTTAGCGAAATAAGTCAATCAGAGAAAGACAACTATCATATGATCTCCCTGATATGAGGGAGAGGAGATGCAACATGGGGGGTTAAGGGGGTAGGAGAAGAATAAATGAAACAAGATGGGATTGGGAGACAAACCATAAATGACTCTTAATCTCACAAAACAAACTGAGGGTTGCTGTGCTGGGGGGAGGGGGGTTGGGAGGGGGGGGTGGGGTTATGGACATTGGGGAGGGTATGTGCTATGGTGAGTGCTGTGAAGTGTGTAAACCTGGCGATTCACAGACCTGTACCCCTGGGGATAAAAATATATTATATGTTTATAAAAAATAAAATTAAAAAAAAAATCCAGGGAAATGGATTCCCCCTTAGAACATTTGGAGAGGGAAAAAAAAATATGGGATGATGACAGAAGGAGATGGAAAATATTAATGTACATTTCCTTTTTCCACTTTCCTCCTCCTACACCTCCTAAATTAGGGGTATTTTCAAGAGGATGATTTCCTTTTTTCCCCCCCTTTTTTTAAAAAAGGATTTTATTTATTTGAGAGCGAGAACGAGAGAGAAGATGGGGGATGGGGTGGGGGCAAGGGCAGAGGGAGAAGGGGAGGGAGAAGCAGACTCCACTAAGCAGGAAGCCTGAGGCAGGGCTCAATGCCAGCACCCCAGGATCCTGACCTGAGCTGAAGGCAGACGCTTAATCAACTGAGCCACCCAGGTGCCCCGAAAGGGTGATTTTCAACTTGGTTTGGCTGCTACCAAATGCAACCTCCAAATCCCTTCCTTACCAATTCTACCACTTATCAGGATATAAGGGTGACCTGGCTGAAACACCTGTCATCTTTTTTAGTGTTCAATATTTAAGGCTCTCCAAAATCCTGTAGGGGACTTTAATTAACTGTATTTTTAGATTAACTTGAAACAGCTAAGGGGGAAAGCCCTCCTTCATTACATAATACTGAGAGCACTGTGCACGTAGGAGCTGCTCTCTCAGTCACTGAGGCTCAGGGACAGAGCCTGGGCGCTCCTTGGCTGATGCTGCCCTCTCAAGGACAGCCAGATGCATAAACCCAGACATCTGTGTACGGAACCTGCACTGAATGTGCCTTTATATGACCTTCTCTGAGCAAGTATGAGAGCCAGCCTTCAGGTCCCACTGCACTCTTCTCCCAGTTCCCCACAGTGGAGCTGGCCAGAGGGATTCTCAAGGCCCGAGGGCTCATACTTACTTGAGGATGTCTTTAAGTATCAAGTTGGGTCTTCTCATCTTGTTCTGAGCTCGGGAGTACCATTGCAGAGAGGGTCTCGACCGATCACTTCTCAGTTTCACACAGTTATACTCACTGGGCATTGCTGTGAAGAGAGCAGAAGCCAGGGGCAGGGAAAGGAGGGAGAGTCAGGCAGGTGATGTTTATAAAAAGGCGACACAGCCAGAGCAGGGAGTACTACTCAGCAATAAACAGGAATGAACTTGTGATACCCCCAACAACCAAGTGAATCTAAGGCAACTGAGCCAAGCCAAGACTAAAAGTTTGCGTGCAGCATGATTCCATGTATGTGATACTCTTGAAATGTCAAAATTACAGAAATGGAGAACAGGTTAGTAGCTGTCAGGAGTTGTGGAGGGGTGGGCTGAGTATGGCTGGATGCTTGTGATGATGGAGATATTCTGTGTCTCGACTGTATCCCCATCCACATCCTAGCAGTGATGTTGTACTATGGTTTAGCAAGATGCTGCCAGTGGGGGAGACTAGTAAGGGGTACGTGGGATCTCTGTATTTTCTACAACTGCACATGAAACTATAGTTATCGCCAAATAAAAAGTCTAATGTTTTTTCAAGAGCCTTTACCTTTTGGAGGTGCATGCAGAACTATTTACAGATGGAACAGGGGATCTGCTTCAAAAAAGTCAGGAAGGGGATGGGTGCACGTGGGGGAATGGCTAAGGCAACGCTAGCTTTAAACTGATTGTCAAAGCTCGGCACCGGGTACCTGGGGCTCATTATGCAATATTCTCACAATTTTGTACATTTGAAGTTTTCTATAAGAAAAAAAGTTTAAAGAGGAAGTGTCACATTAGAAACTGAACAAAAGTGTTACATTAAGGAAAAAAATGGCAATTTTAAAAGATATTTTTCTTTAAAAAATTATATGTTCTTGAGTGTACCTGCCTATTCATCCTTTTGAATTCATTGTGTTCTCAAGTTTTTAATTTCTAAATAATATTCTAGGGGGTGTTGTAGTAGAAACCAGTATGTCCACCCCTGTATAAGTTTCCCCCTTCCTCTCAACTTGGTAAAATGATGGATTTTTATTTTTTTATTTTATTTTTTTTTTTAAAGATTTTATTTATTTATTTGAGAGAGAGGCAGTGAGAGAGAGCATGAGCGAGGAGAAGGTCAGAGGGAGAAGCGGACTCTCCATGGAGCTGGGAGCCCGATGCGGGACTCGATCCCGGGACTCCGGGATCATGACCTGAGCCGAAGGCAGTCGTCCAACCAACTGAGCCACCCAGGCGTCCCAAAATGATGGATTTTTAGCTAGGAGGGCAGCCTCCCAGCATAAAGACTACATTTCCCAGCCTCCCTTAGAACTAGGTACGGCCTCATGATTAAGTCCTAGCCAACAGGATGAGCAAAAGTGACGTGTACAACTTCCAAGTTTGCTTCTTTTCCTGCTGGCTGAAATACTGACACAGGGGGAGCCACTCTGGGCCACACAGACAGCATACCACCAACGGATGGTGGAAGAACAGCAGAGTAGGGGCCTGGGTCCCCAGGCAATCCCAAGGACAGAGCCGCCATTCTACCTTGGGCTGCCTGCCTCGGGGCTCTCAGAAGATGGAGAAAAACCGCTGTCTTACTTAAACAATTGTAATTAAAAGTGAAGCCATAGCTTGGCTAATGTAGGCACCTATTAGAGTATGCTATTATGATAAATGTATATATTAAGAAACAATATCTTTACTACAGTCTTTCAGCCAAGAGGCAGTTGTATATGTCATTACACACTTGATTTCCATTCAAGTTGTGTCATTTCCTTTGAAAAAAATCTTTTACCAAATTGATGTTCAAGTAGTTAATGTTCTTGCTACTGGAAACAACCTCTCCCTCAACTCCAATTCTACCTGTGTAGCAAGAACTTTCCTAGATGTGCACCTTCTGAATAGTTTCAAGAAGCAGTGCCAAGGACCTCACTAGCAAGCCCTTGCTGAAGAACAGCTGAGACCTAGAAATGTTCAAACACCATAACTGTGGGGTACTTTAACACGTGGCCAGCCAACTGGTAGGAACTAGCAGGCGACCCACAACCAGTACATATACAGTTTCTAAGATGTCTGTTTTTCCAGCCAGAATGACATGCCATTCACCCCAAGGCGGACCTCCAGTAAACAGTGACTGCAGTGTCAGAGAGGAGCCCATCTCCGCCTCTGCCTGTCTCTGCTGTGCTGGACAGCGCCGTCCTGAGTAAGCCTGTGAAATTCCCTTCCCGGGAATGGCCCACCCACTTCCTGATGAGCTGTGACTGTGGGGCCTCCTGGTAGAAGACAGCAAGACAGGAGAGAAGCAGCCCTTCCTGTCCCCTGATAGAGCGCAGCCTCTGGCAGGGGCGGTGACAGGCACAGGCAAGAGAGGGTGACTACATGTGACTCCAGCGGCATCGGTGGGCATTTAGCATCCTCAGTTTCTACTCAGGAGAAGTGACGGCACCTCCAACAGCTTTGTGACAAGTACAAGCTTCAACCCTGGATGACAGAAGCTTCCTGATCTCTGGCTAACACTTCTACACCTCTTTTTTAAAGATTTTATTTATGTATTTATTTGAAAGAAAGAGAGAGAGAACAGGCAGAGGGGCAGAGGAAGAGGGAGAATCTCACGCAGACCCCAAGCTGAGCCCTGAGCCCAACGAGGGGCTCGATCTCATGGCCCTGAGATCATGACCTGAGCCGAAAGCAAGAGTCAGATGCTCAACCAACTGAGCCACCCAGGCGCCCCTGGCTAACATTTCTTTCTCACTTGAATTTTCCAGCCTGCTGCCGTCTTTGCCATCAATCCCCTGCATGAAAGTCCTCCCTGCCCGAAGCACATCCGTGGTTTCAGGTTTCCTGCTGGGCACTGACTGCCACGGCAGATGGTGCTCCCCTGCCACCAAGTGGGATTGTTCGAGGAAGGGAGGGGCTCTGAGGGCAGCAGAGTCTGCCGTCCTGAACCCCTTCCTCTTCTCACTGTCACTGCCACACAATACAATCCATGCAAATGCTTAAAAACAAAAACAGGTGTTTTGGGTTTTTTTTCTAATCACACGGGAGAGGATCTCAGGAGAGGGAGTGTGAGAATACGGGATGCGCAGCCTGACGCCTGGGCTCAGCTCCTGCACTTACCAGTGGGGAAGCCTGGGGCAAGTCACTCTCACTCCTGCAAGCCCAGTTTCCTCATCTGTAAAATGGGGGTGGTCACATTACCTACCTCATAGGACTCACGTGGGGAAAGGGGTCACCCATCACAAATCCTGTGTACGTGCTGGTTGTCGCTACTATTATCACACAGAAAGGGACCTTACAGGCATCCACTCTCATCTGACAAGATTCATCTGTTGGGGCTTTAAGGCTCATGTCTTTTGGTCACCCTTATTTCCAGACGCAGTTTTGGCTCTAGCTCAATCATGGAGTCCTTTTTTCCATCCGTTCCATTTTCCTTCCTGGTGTTTCTAGAGAAGCAACATCCTCCCGAAGCCCCATGCTCTCCCCCAGGGTCTGGTCCTGGCCAGTAGCCTCGCTCTCCCCCAAAACCTCTCTCAACCTGTAAAACCTCTAAATGCTCAGGGCTCACAGGCCCCTCACTGGCCCTGCTCCCTGTGAGAGCCGAGCCACTCCCAGCCTGTCTACCTTCCTTCACTCCATCTGCACACCATGCCTGGGATACCTTACACCAACACGTCCTCTAAAACCTCTTGAACCTTCTTTTAAAATCCCAGACATACATCTTATGACTCAAGGGTCCTGGTCTCTACCACCAGTCTTCCCCTCGTCCCACAAATACTCACTCCAAGGCTTCACCACCTGCCTTTTCCTCACCACCTCAAGGGAGAGACCCCCCCAAACCCCTATCTCTGTGCGGACCTCTCACTTAAGTTCAGACTATGTGTCCGACAACCTACCTGCTGTCTTCACCTTAGACATTATGAAGGAGAACCTGGCATTTTCCTCTATTCCTTACATCATTTGGAAGCTGTGCCATCCACTCAGCCATCTAAGCTGAAAACCTCTGTCACAGAGGTTTTCAACTCAGGCTTCTAACTTTCATTCCTGGCCCAGTCAATCTCCAGAGGCTCTCGCTCATACCTCCTTGAACTTTCTTTTTTTTCTTTAAGATTCTGTTTATTTATTGGACAGAGACAGAGATCACAAGTAGGCAGAGAGGCAGGCAGAGAGAGAGGAGGAAGCAGGCTCCCCGCTGAGCAGAGAGCCCGATGCAAGGCTCGATCCCAGCACCCTGGGATCATGACCTGAGCTGAAGGCAGAGGCTTAACCCACTGAGCCACCCAGGTACCCCCTTCCTTGAACTTCTGATGCCCAATGACATTCCTCCAATGGTCAAGTCCCTGGAATCCATCTTGATTCTCTCCCCTCAGAGCCATCTTTCTAAAATATGTATCCGTTGAATGGTTTCCAGCTCGTCTCAGGTTTTATGACTCCCGGTGACAAACCTGTCACACTCTGGCCACAAAAAAATACTGTTAGAAGCCTGGATGTGCCAGAATGCTACCTCAGTGCCTTTGCACATGATGGAATTCCAGTGGGAATCCCAACAATCTGCCTGGTGAACCACTTTTCATCTTTAAACCCTTCTCCCCTATGAAGATCATTTTTCAACACTATGGCTATCCCCAGATACTTCCTCATCTTTGTTGACTGCAATGAGCTAACACTGTCTGTGTATATCTTAGGTTTCTTCTATCATTCTGCAAGTACCTGGAAGATGAGCTGCAGGGCCAGAACTCTGTTTACCTTTGTATCCCCAAGACCTAGGACAGAGCTTGGCACATAGCAGGTCCTTAGGAAACATCTCGCATGGATGGAATGTACATTACATGCCCATGACCTGTCTTCAAACAAGATAAGCATCCCCCAAAAATGTATCTTCCCAAAAATATCTAAGACAAAAACTGAAAAAAAAGTTAACAAAATTATAATAGTAAAGAATAAAGTATAAGCTCTACAGAAACATCTACAATGTCCAACAACAGGGAATCTGTTGATAAATGATCACTGCAGAATCTGTGGAATCTGGGACCACAGCCTCAGCACCACCTGGGAGCGTGTGAAATGCAGAGTCTCTGGCCCCCCAGATCTG